ATCCTCTGCTGCCCTTCTTGGCCAGCCTGGGTTTCAGGCACACCAAAATCAACACTGAGATAGCACCCATGCTGTCCACAAGCATCACTTCAGGGAAAAGACACTTTTCCAAACATAACTTCATACATATAAAATTAAACATGAAGCAAACCAGTTCTGCTTCCATGTGACCCATCTGGATATTCTCTGGCTATTATCTGCAAGCCCCTCCTGTTGCAGCACAATGAAGATGTCTCTCCTAGAAGGAGTGCCAAGTGTCACATCTTGTGTGACACACCTTTGGCTGCCCTTGGCTCATGCCTGGGGCCTGTCCAGCCATCGTGCATCAGCACTCAGCTCATATTTACATCTTCTGGCCAGCAGACACAGCCCAGAGTGCAATGCACACACAATAAGTGTGTGGCCATCAACAGCCACATCGTGGCTAATCTGAAACCCAAACTTTTCAGCGCTGGACCCACATGAACCACTGCAGTAGGCTCCTGAGGCAGGAGATTTATCCCTACCTCCCTCCTCAACCATACTTTCATACCCAACCCTTACAGCAGGGGTTCTACCGTCTAGGAGACACTCTTTCAAACCTCTGCAGTATCTCTAATCGTTCAGACTATCCAAAGGCGTTAACTCCAGCAGCCAGCATCTTTTAGCACATCATTACCATCTCCTCTGAACTCCTAAACCTCTGTCACACCCCAGCCACAAAACCATACCACCAGCATGAACGTCACTCATGTCAGACTGGTATCAATTGCAAGGATCACCACGGTGACAGCTTGCAACATCAACTCTTTCCACCAGCCATCCCTGTGGATATAAGATGACCAAGAGGGCCAGAAATATCCTTTACACCAAGCTCTGATTTGAAGTAATTTCTTCTTACGGCAACTGGACCCGCATGTTTAGCATGAAGAGTTTCACCAGAATTAAAAGAGCACACAACCAACCTTGAGGCACAATGTGCTCAAAAGCAAAAGAAAGGAGTCTTGTGTGATTCACAAGCAGAATGTGAAGCCTGACCTAGCTTTATTTCATTTACTGAATTTGAGAAGCAGTCTATTAATAGTTCACTACCCTGCCCTGCTTCTCCATGCCAGGGCAACAGCTCTGCTAACAAACACCAGTGATACAGGCACACACTTTTATACTGACACCATAAAGCACAGCTAAACCAATTGTTTCTATTTAAACAGAAGTCACATTCACAAGAATTAACTGGAAACAGACAAAATTGATCTTGAAGTTCAATACCAGACTCAAGCTTTCATGTATAGTCTCTGTCTCCTTTATTCTCCCAGATTTTCTAAATTATTCTGTTCATTTATGCTACTAAGTCTATCTGGCCAATAAATTACCAGCACAGATAGTAACCTGCTACTACTATTTCCACATCAGATGAACGCTGCCAGCCAGCAAGGACACTAACAGAAATCAAACTGCCACACCAATGGAAATCCTGGAGTTACTACCCTTTTCAGGAAAAAAAAAACAAAAAACTCCTTGAATTTTTGATACAGGGGCATGAGACTGTGATGATCACCAGGCATCTTGCACCTTCCTGTAACAGCAGGATAAGACAGCCCAACCTTTCCCCATTTCTCAGCAAAAAAATTTAAATTCAATGGCAATATTCACAGTCCAAGCAAGAACCATAAAGTACAGTGATGCCTCTGCAATTCACAGTACCGAGTCTGACTCTTTGCAGAGTCCCTATATATTCCCAAAGGGAATCATGACAGGCATTTTAAAACCATTCACCTCACTAAAAGGAATATTTGGCTTGCAAGCAGGGGAGTGGCAAAGCCTGTATTCCTTATTCATGACCCAACATTTTATTTAGGAGCGCAACCCTGCAATACTGTTATGCCAAAGCCTCACCACACAGCGATTGTACACCATCAATTAATATTAATTATAGCTGCTGAAAACACTGGAATGCAAACCCTTCCAAAACTGCAAGGGCACACTAATCCTGCTCTGGCACTTCAGCTTCATGAAGGAACAATAGCCTTATTTTCTAGCTGGTATTCAACTACAGCTTTCACCTCTTCAGACAGGTCTAAAGCCCACATCATTTGGGCAGCGCTTGGATCCCGCCCTAATCAGAGCTGTGACTTCAGTTCTGAACCCTAAAGCCGTCTTTTCAATGAAATAAAGCCACTGGGCAAGAATGGCTCGCGAGGCCTTTGTACAGACGGACAAAGACAGACACACAGGCAACAGCACAAGTGGGCTGAAAAACCGCTGAGCCAGGATGGGATTAATGCCTGCATGGAACCACAACGCTGCCCGCTTGAACTTCCCTGCTCCAACTGGAACACACACAAGTGCATCTCCAGGAGGAAAAAAAAGTACAGGTTGCAGCAATTTATCCACCAAAAGGCTCTGGGCTGGGTTCTGATGGTGTGAGGCTGCAGAGGAAGGCATTTTGTCTCCAACAGCATAGTGAGATGATGGCTTCCACTCTCTTGCTGCCTATAGGGAACTTCAAATTTGCGCAGAGAAAAGACAAATCGGGGCAGATCTAACTGGCACAGCTCACAAAAAAAAAAATAATTCAAAAATGCCATGAATAAAATGATTTACTTGACAGCACCCTCTGAATGTTTTCCCTAAAATTCCCCAGCTGAACTGAGAGAGTATTCTACAAGTTAAAAAGCTGGAGACAACACAGCTATTCACACCTTCTCCCATTGCCTCCTCCATGCAAATCCAGCCCAGAGGCACAGGCTTTAATCCTGTAGTCGTTAAAGGCTTTTGTCATTCAATGAGGCTTTCCCAATCCAGACCCAAGTACCGGCTTCCAAAGTCACATACCATCTCACATTACCTCCGGAATCACTCAAACCTGCACAAGGAGAAGTTTAAGGAGACCCAGCAGCCCCTGCCTCCAGGGGATTCACACCAATTTCTCTAAAGCCAAACAATAGTTTTCTTCCCACAATTAGAGGCCTAAAGCAAATCCTGTATTGAATTGAAAATATCTAGCAGTATTAAGATCTGATTTGGGTTGATGCACATACAGTGAAAACTAATGGGAATTTGAGCATTATACAAATTTCTTCACACTCAGTTCAAGAACTCCTAAACAAGTGTGACTAAGAATAAGAAGGCCATTCACCAGGTAAGAAAGCTTTCACACTGCAGATTCCCTTCCTAGTCTCTTCCTGAGCAGAATAATCCAGACTAGCATTTCCAAGCAATGTTTTCCAATACATTTGGCAGGCTTTGGTCGTTAAAGCTGCTGTTACAGAAAATATATGGAAAATCCATCTATGTCAATCCCCCTGCTAGAGCACAGACAACCAGGCATCGTGCTGAATTCTGGGTCTCGCTGATTTTAGTGCCATGGCTCTGCAGTGATGGGGCTGGTCTGGGCCACATGGACTGACAGGAGCAGCAGCCTCCTCCAACCTGCCCTCCAACAGCATCCCAGCCACCATCCCTCCAACAGCATCCCAGCCACCATCCCTCCAACAGCATCCCAGCATCCCAGCCACCATCCCTCGTGGATTGCAGGCTGCTGGAGTAGAAGCCTTACACACTCCGGATTCAGTTCCCAGCAAAGCCAGACAAAGCCCGGGCCTGCCCCCAGGCTTCCCTCAAGCAGCTCTCTTTTAAATCCCCGTAACAATTCTCCAGACCACCCTTTCCCCACAAACCCTCCTGGACCCCCGGGCTGGAGGAGAGAGGGGCTGCTCCCCTCACCACCAACCCACCACACCTTTGCCTGGCTGCTGTGTCTCCCGTTCTGCATCCCCCCTGATAAAAGCCGGGGAATGCACGACTATGAAGACTGAGGAGTGCTCCCCATAATTCTTACTAAGGGAGCAGTACTGCAGTGAATCATGATTATATTGTGTAATGAAATCATCAGAATAAAGATGTGGCTGCACATCCATCCCCAGCTATCCCAGACAGCCAGGAGTAATTTACAAACAGATTGGGCCATCATTAAAATATAAACAAACAACCAGGAGCTCAGACTTAAAATAACACGTTATTTCCACATCAGTTTCAAATGCTCTTGTAGGCCATAAGCTCAGCCACCCAGTTGAAGTTTGAAGGCCCCAAATTATAAGGAAGAGTTAAACCTCCTTTCACCTCAGTTACAGAGTAACTCAGGCTGAAAATAAAACAGTATTAAGTCTGTATTTGGTTTTTCTCTTAAGTAGGTCTCATTCCAATGGATGCCAACAGAAGTGAGGGTTAACAGGCACTACAAGCTTCACCATAAGCAAAAAAGAAAATTAAGCCTGTATGACTGTGATTTTTACCAAAGGCTATAAAACCCACCAAGAACAGGGTAACGGCAAAAGACAGCATCTAAACCTTCGTTCTCCTTAGGTATTACTGGATGGTGCTACTTCATGCTGAAGATCTAGAACTTTAAATGTAAAAATCCGCCTTTTCGAAGGTATTTGGACAGGTAGGTCTTTGACCTAACCAAAGCGTACACACGGCGCCTAAAAAAAGGCAAGCACCGGGGCATATTGCGAGCCTTGATTCCCCGGAACGGTGACAATTTCATGGCAGGGGAGAGGGAAGGTGGGGGAGAGCAGCTCCTCAGCCTTCATGAAGCCATAACACAAAAGGAAATTTTCCTCCTGCAAACGCACTCAAAGCACCGACCGTCGGTGTCACTTGAAGCAGGAGCTGCTGGCCCGAGGAGGGGCTGGGGCCGGGCCGAGCATCCCCGCTCGCTGCGCCCTCTCCCACGGCGCGGGAGCCACGCGTGACCTTGGCTGCGCCAGGCGGGTCCTGCGCGGCGGCGGCGCCGGGCCGAGCGGGTTAAGCGTGGGAGGAGTGTACATAAGGTGGTGGATCCGGAGCCAATGGGGATACTGCGCTATAGTTAGACACTGGATCCTAAGCGATGGTGACCATAAAGGCTGTTCAGGGCTGAGTTGCTGTGGATGACACCGCCGCGACGCCTTTAGTTCCCGTCTTATAAGGCAGGGGAAAAAAGAAAAAAAAAGCACAGGAGGATCAGCTGGGCTTACCTGCAGTTCACACCACGCGACTTCCACCCACGTCTCCGTGTCCAGACCCTTGTAGACCGTTTTGAAGGATCCCCGCCCGAGTTCAATATCAAACTTTAGGAACCTGCCATCCGGCGAGGTGGCAACCGCTTTCATGTCAGCCTCCTCCTCGGGCTCCTCTTTCTTAGCCTTGCCCTGGTCCTTGGCAGCATCCTGCGCCTCTCTCCGCTCCGCATCCTTGCCTGGCTCCTTCTGCTCCTCGGCTCCCGCGGCGCTGCCCGCGGCCGGCGTCGCCCGCGGCTCCTCGGAGCACTCGGCCTCCCGGCCCGCCGCCTCCACCGCCCCCTGCCCCGCCTTCGCCCGCTCCGCGATTATCCTCCTGGTTTTGGGGGGCAGGATGATTCTCCGCTGGTGCTCCGCCTCGGGCAGGTCGAAGGCGGGCTCCTCCTGGTCCGAGTCCACCACGCTCCTCCGCAGGAAGCGCTGATGGACCAGCTTGGGGTCCCTGGAGCCGGGTCCGCGGGGCGGCGGGGTGAGGGCCCCGGGGGCCGCCGGCGCTGCAGCAGCGTCCGTGGCCGCGCTCCCCCCGCCGCCGGGCCCATCCATGTTCACGCCGATCTCCGCGGCCGGGAGAGCGCCGGGCTCGGCAGTCGCTGGAACCCCGCCACGGCCGCCGCCTCTGCCGCCCCGCCGAGGTGCCGCTCTGGCATCGCCCCCAGTTTCCATCCAGGCCGAGGTCTCAGCGCCCGCCGCCGCCCCGGCCCGGGGGAGTCACCGCGAGCCGCGCCCGCGCCGCCACCTGCGCGGGGCAGAGCGCAGCCCTGAGGCGCCGCCACGGCCCAGCCCGGCCCCCGGGCACCTCCCCCGGCCCCGGGGCTCCGACGAGCCGGGCCCCCGGGCCGGGCCGCGGCCGCTCTGACCGGGCTTCCCCCCCCCCCTGTCCCCGGTGCCCGGCAGGGGCGCGGCCCAGAGCGCCGGACAGAGCGGTGCAGCCCCTCACCTGAGGCGGGCCCGCGCACAAAGGCGCGGCGGGGCCGTTACTCACGTGCGGAGCCGGGGGCTGCCGCGCTCAGCGCCATGCGCGGGGGAAGGCGGAGGAGGGGCGGCTCCGCCGAGCGTGCGCCTGCCCGGCCGCGCGGCGGGGCCGGGGGGGCCGCCGCCGGTGCGG